AAAAAATAAAAGTAGTTTTTTAACCAAAATTGCCCTAAAACGTCTTGGGATACTGCAACTGACACTTTTGGTGGGAGTGGGACATAGATTCCTTCATTGGTGTCTAGTCTTGGTTCCAGCGCTCTCTTTTTGGTTTATTACATTTCACCACTCCGGCACCCTCTCGTAATTTTTTATATATAAGACATCAACAATCACTATGAGGGATGTCATTCAAGATCTACCGTCAATGCCTTTTACTGTCTCTGTTGCTGTGGGTGCTCTGTCCCTACTGCTTTTCTTGATATTTGTACGAAGAGTCATCTTCACCGGTAGGATGGGATCCTCTAGCTTTCCTCATGTTCCAGGTACCATCTTGAATTCACTCTCTCTCACTTCTTTTTTTTTTTTTTTTCTGGGTTCCTTCGAATCGTTGCGATCGTTTCGCTGTTACTAACTTGTGGGGTTATGATGATCGGAAAACAGAGGTGCCGGGGTTGCCGGTAATCGGAAACTTGCTGCAGCTGAAGGAGAAGAAACCCCACAAGACGTTTGCGAAGTGGGCGGAGACATACGGCCCAATCTACTCTATCAGAACCGGCGCCACTACTCTCATCGTTCTCAATTCCGCCGACGTCGCCAAAGAGGTTTGCCCGCCGTTATAGTTTCTTCTCCGGCGGGAGTAGTATTACTGTTGTATCCTTTATTTGGTCGCCATTATTATTGTCGGACTCGTTGTACTCATTGTTCATATGGGGATATTTTTGTCATTTCGTATTATGTAGTCCCTTCCCCCAGAAAAGATTGCAGTTATCCAAAACAGAAAATGTGCTTAGTTTAACCTAACATTGGAAAAGCCCAACCATTTTAAAAAAGGATTGAAAAGCCCATTTCTTACTGGCCCCCCTAAGATTGGTTTGCGATGTTTCATGGGCAGAATGAAATATGGGTCTGAGCTACCTACTTTATTTCAAATCTCCAAGTTGATATAATTCTGTTCTGTTTTATATCCAAAAAAAAAATACTGTTGCATAGTATAGATTGTACACCTTAAATTGCTTGGATGATATTAGAGGCTATCTTTTATTCTTATTTTGTAGTTTAGTGCAATCTAAACTATAAAACAGGATTCTCTTTCATCAAATGACTAATAATACTAATTGTATTTCTGAGAATAATTTCATTATGCCTACTTTTCAATTCATGAAATTGAAGTGTTTTATTTCTATCCAAGCTCGGGTAAATTCAGCAATTAATATAGGAGAATTTATAGGTTCTACTGTGAGATCAATTATGTACAAATGATATTTTTGTGCTATTGTAGGCCATGGTGACAAGATATTCATCCATTTCAACAAGAAATTTGTCAAATGCCCTGAAGATTCTAACTCTTGATAAATCTATGGTTGCAATGAGTGACTACGATGAGTTCCACAAGATGACAAAGCGACTGATACTAACAAATCTTTTAGCTCCAAATGCTCAGGTTTGCTTGCTGCTAAGCTTGTTTGTTTTTGTTTATGATCCTTTTATCAAACTAGAATTGATTGTTGCTTTTATCCCCTTTAGAAGCGACTTCGTTGCAACAGGGACATCATGATAGAAAATATATGTAGCCAGTTTCATGCTTGCGTGGAGAGTGATCCACTCCAGGTTGTCAACTTCAGGGAAATATTTGCGGCTGAGCTTTTCAGATTGTCACTAAAGCAAGTAAGTTTCTTCCTCATCACTTCACCCCAAAAGTTTATGTTGTAACAATAGAAAGGAGTTACAATGAGAAGCATTTGTTTTTTTTACACAAATACTATGGAATTGAAGGCTTTAGGGAGGGATGTCGAATCAATTTATGTTGAGGAACTTGGTGCCGCATTGTCAAGAAAAGATATGTATAAAATCTTAGTTGTTGACATGATGGAGGGAGCAATTGACGTGGATTGGAGGGATTTCTTCCCTTATTTGAAATGGATTCCTAACAAGGGCTTCGAAATGAGACTCAAACAAAAGCATTTCCGAAGGATGGCATTAATGAATGCCCTGATCAGGGAGCACCAGAAACAAATTGAGTCAGGGAAGGTAGTCTTCTCTTGCTTGGGTATAAAGTCTAAGATTTTCTTTTTTCTTTCTGCCTTGTTACAAACGTTTTAATACCTCTTTGAATCTTATAAAATAGGAAGTGAACGGTTATATAAACTTCTTGTTAGCGGAATCAAACACGCTTACAAAGGAACAAATAACCATGTTGCTGTGGGAGGCAATAATTGAGACTGCAGATACTACTTTGGTCACAATAGAATGGGCAATTTATGAACTTGCTAAAAATCCAGACAAGCAGGTTATTGAAACATTGTTAATACCATCTTTGCTTCCATTTTTGCATAACATGATTCCAATTCCCTCAATTTTTATGTAACAGGAACGTCTCTACCATGAAATCAAAAAGGTATGTGGATCTAACAAGATCAAGGAGGAGAATTTCTCACAACTCGGATATTTGAGTGCAATTTTTCATGAGACACTTAGGAAGCACAATCCAGTTCCTCTAATTCCATTAAGACATGTACATGAAGATACTCAAATAGGAGGTTACCATGTACCTGCAGGAAGCGAGGTTGGTCATGACTCATTTTTTTTTCATAAGGTTTGATTATCTTTTTTTTTTTTTTAGATGTTTGGATGGTAGCACTAACATCATTATGTGCAGATTGCCATAAATCTCTATGGCTGTAATATGGACAAGAAACGATGGGAAAATGCAGAGGAGTGGAATCCAGGGAGATTTCTCGATGAGAAATATGATCCTGCAGATTTACACAAGACAATGGGATTTGGAGCCGGAAAGAGATCATGCCCCGGGTCTCTTCAGGCCATGACCGTATCATGTGCATCAATAGGTAGGCTGGTGCAGGAATTTGAGTGGAAACTGAAAGATGGGGAAGAAGAGGACGTTGACACTCTTGGCCTCACCTCTCAGAAACTTCATCCGGTCCATGCAATTATAAAACCAAGAAATTAACTGGGCATATTGTGCCCTGAATGATCAATTCTAGACCATAAAATTGGAACTTTGAAATCTTGTGTGCTTAAATTAATGTAGAACTGTTATTTGCTGTGTTCAATTCAAGTTCTAGCAGGTTTAGTACTGTGATTTCACAGGTACGACATGAAACAACTATTGCTATTAAAAATATCATCAGTGTGGAAGGGACAGAACACGGAAACATCTTAATGAAAGCATAAATGAGGACCCATGAGAAAAACAAAAACAGTACACTATATCTGGTACATAGGACAGTCAAAAGAACTGAAAACGGGTGTCGGAATACTGAAACCAGACCGGGCCAAAAGAATCACACTGGGAAGTGATAGAGACAAGAGGAGAAGAAAGAATCTCGGGACTCAGTCACCGTTCCCTCTTACGCTGACTGACTGCTGCTGTTGACTACAGCCGCTCGCGTGCTGGTCTATTTACGGCAACCACCATTCCAGGGTCGCCACGCGTCCATCTGATGGGTCATTTTCGAAGAACCCAGAAACCCCCCTCCCCTCCTCTGTTTCCTCTCCGGAACAGAACAGGTCAAGTCAGATTTCCAGAGCAGAACTGAACAGGACAAGTCCACGCCTATCCGACCCAACTCAAAAGAGTGAAAAATCTTTCCGATCATGGTTTGTAAGAACTAAGAAGAGATTTTGTTTATGTTAAAAGACAAACTAAAGGTGCAATGCATGGGGGAATAAAAAAATAAAAGAGGTTGGATTGAGATGGGTATTGGATAATCGGAAAAATCAGAGGAGCAGACTGCAGAGCAGAGATCACGGCGTCGGCGACTGCGAGCGAGAAATCAGGAAAAGAGGGGGAAATTGGGTCGTAGGCAGACCCAATTATTGTTACCCACGCTGCCCGACATCAATTATGTTGTCGGTCCTCTTCTAGCTAGTATTTTACTCATCTCCACCTTTGACGGTTACTTTTTCCTAAGCCCTTCTCAATTGGCTTCAATTCAAACTGGCTTCAGCCCGCATCTGATCTCTTGGCTCAATTCCCTTAAACTTGTCAGGGAATAGGAGAAATTAAAATATTTTGATGTTGAAGGCTTTTATTATAGTGATTTATTAAGTGAATTTTAAAGATAAAATTTATTTATGAATGATTGTGATAGATATCTTAAGTATCAAGATGTCATGATTTTTATATTTTTGAACTTGTTAATAATAAAACTAAATTTTTACTTTTAAAAAAATAATTAAATAAAAATAATGAAGTCGTTATCACTTAAAATGTTAATGTCATTATAAAATTAGAAAATGACGTAATGTTACATTTGTAAGAGATTACAAATATGTATTTAGTGTGACATTGATACTTAAGAGTGTGACAAAACAATAGCATTAAAAAAGAAATGTCATGTTATAATCAATATGGTAGGAGAACTAGAAATAAATAAAACATATTGGCCTTCTTCTTTTTAATTCAAATTTTAACCCTCTTTTTTTTTTTTTTTTAACAAAGAGAGTTGGGGTAGGGTCCTGAAGTCAAGTTTCTTTCTCTATAATTAGTCATATATCATTTTATTTATAATTTTTTAATATTTAAGTAGAGTCCCTTCTATACCTCACCTAAATATATGTAAGTTTTTGTTACTATTTATGATGTAATATCAATAGAACCTAATACAATAACAAGTCAATGCAAATTCAAATTTTAAACAATAATAAAGTTGTCTATTAATTACCATGCCATTTTCGTTGTCAAATCCTTTTTTCCTTTTTAATGTGCAACGTAGATAGAAATTCTTTTAGAATTTTAAGCTAAATTGATTCTTCTACTTCTTCAAATAGCCTAAGTAGGCAGACAACACTGCAGCAAGCCACTCAAGCCGAGCCGCTACCGTTAAGTTATCTATACTGGAAAATTTTTTCAAATAATAAATCCTTTATTATATCTGTTTCTTTTATATTTATCCTAGTGTTCTCACTCACAAACTCCTCTTCAAACGCACTCTATTTTCTTTTCTTCCCCTCCATTCTCTCTCAAAAATCTTCTCTTGCCTTGAACCCAACAAAAATGTCTGCGGATTCTGGGGATAAGCGGTCGGTTCGAGCGCCGGGAGCCATGAGTTCGCACCCACCGCCGAAGCTCAACGACCCACTTCCCTGTCCCAGGTGTGAGTCCACCACCACCAAGTTCTGCTACTACAACAACTACAACCTCTCTCAGCCTCGCTACTTCTGCAAGGCCTGCCGTCGCTACTGGACCCACGGCGGTACTCTCCGGAACGTCCCTGTCGGTGGAGGAACCCGCAAGACCTCCAAGCGTTCCCGTTCGTCCTCTGTTCCTTCCCCTGTTTCGACTTCATCCTCCTCTGCTGTGACTCAGGAGGCTGAGTCTGTGCCCATGTCGGCTCACCCTGTCTCGGTTGTTCCCGCAGCGGGAGTTAAGTCCGAAATGAGTATGTGTGATGTGAATCTGAACGAAACTGTAGGGGGAGAGCCAGGACCTGGAAGCTTCACTTCGTTCTTGACCGCTCCAGGACAAGGGTACTTGACTCTGGGAGGGTACGGGTTAGGAACCGGACCCGGATTTGATGGGGTTTGGGGATATCACGGAAATGGTTATATGGGTAGTTTCGCTGCCGGTCCTTCCGTCGGGTGCAATCCGTGGCAGATGACAGCAGCCGGAGATATTGAAGGAGGTGGTGCGTTGGCTGAAGGTGATTACTTTGGTTGGCCAGGACTGGCGATTTCCGCGCATGGGAAAGGCATGAAATGAAGCAGCTTTCACCATTCCGAGGAAAGGGTTTGTCTTTATCGTTTTTGGGTTTTGAGTAGTGTTTTGGAACATCCTAGTTAGTTAGTAATGTCGGTTTATTGAGCTTGAAGTTGTCTTTTTCTTTGGGTTTAGTGTTTGGTGGGTATAGTTACATAGAATGAAGAGTCTACTCTGATCAGATCAAAGT